GGGCACCACCCTGCTCTGACTCCCCAGTGCACACGCATTGCTTCCACCCTTTATTCCCCATTTTTCCCTGGTTGGATGGATCAGATGCCGAGCTCTGCGCCAGCCTGTGGTGAAGAGGAGGAGAGGAGAGAATTCCTGGTGCATGCTCGGAGCTCCCCGCCCCTCCCAGCCTCCTCTGAGCCCCGCTGATCATCCTGCCTGCCTTGTGGCACAGGGAGTTCAGCACAGCCACAGAGAGCAGAGCTCGTGTGCCAGCAGCAGCCAGGCTGAACGTGCCCAGTGCAGGGGAGATGCTCGGGGAGGGGTGGCTGTGTTCCCCAGAGCTGTTGTGGAGGGCAGATAAGCTTCCTGCAAACTGCAGCTCTTTGGAGAGCGTCCAGAGGGATGGGGGCTGACTGCAGGCTCTGTTCAGGGCTTGGCTCGTGGTGCTGTTGGTGGCAGTGTGATATGTTTGGGATGGAAACTCTAGAAAAGACCCACACAGATGTCACTGCTGGTCAAACTGGTCCCCTGAGAGCTGCTGATAAGCAGTTTGACACAGATACTCTGTTCCAAGGAACAAACAAGTTCAAACTTCCCATCAAACCTCGATTTTCTCTCCTTGGTATTTGTTTTCCCTGCAGTAACTTGGTTTGAACGCCCTCAGAGTGGCAGCACTACATGACATTGGTGTTTTTGTGAGTGTGACATCTGAGCTGGGGCTGTTTTGCCCAGAGAAGAGAAAACTCCAGGGGGACCTCACCGTGGCCTTCCAGTACTTGGAAGTGGCTTATAAAAAAGGAGAGTGACTTCATACATGGGTAGATAGTGATAGGACAAGGGGAAATTGGTTTAAACTAAAAAAGGAGACATTAGATTGGATATGAGGAGAAAACTCTTCCCTGGGAGGGTGGGGAGGCCCTGGCACAGGGTACCCAGAGCAGCTGGGGCTGCCCCTGGATCCCTGGCAGTGTCCAAGGCCAGGCTGGACAGGGCTTGGAACACCCTGGGATAGTGGAAGGTGTCCCTGCCCATGGCAGGAGGTGGAACAAGATGATTTTTAAGGTCCCTTCTAACCCTCAGACTATTCTGAGATTGTGATTTCAGTGGGAGAACGGAGCCCAGGCTGCAGTCCCTGCTTTCCACAGGATCCAGGAGAGCCTGAGAGCTGGGCTGGCAAATTGGCTTCCTCAGGTTCTGGTCAGGCAGTGTTTGCACAGATGATGAGACATGGTGGCATTTCATTCTCTGGAAGGAAATGGATTTATTGTGCAGGCTCACATGAGGACAAGGCTGATTCCTTTGTGGCATTTGTCAGCATTTCTGTGACCTGTTCTTCCATGGCCAAGGGAGAACAGGTTTTAGCAAGCACTCACCAAACATTGCATAGTTAGTGGCATGTAATTAACTCTTAGAGAAGAATAAATTAAGTAAATTACGTTAGACATGTTTGTCAGTCTACACACAGGCACAATGTGAAATAATGCTTTTTAAATTTAATTAACTTAGTCCAAAGCAAGTCTTAGACCAGTTAAAGAATTCTTTGCTTTTTTTATGTTGTCTGACAGCCCAGAAAGTACAAAGGCAAATCCTGCTCTCCTTCCCCTTCCCACTTGCAATGGCCATATGGAACAGAGACGTGGCTTCCACCCCGCTGCAGAGCCATGGGAATGAGCTGTTATGGAATGGGGAAAAGGGGCCGGATCCTGGGAATTTCTGAATGAGCAGCTGGAGAATTGACGTCATTGCAGAGCCGAGAGAAAGGAGGAGTCAGCTCAGAAAAGGAGTGAAAACAAGAGTGTGTTTAGGAAAGCTGAGCTCTCCTTCCTTTCCTTTTTGGCTGGATGAGTTTTTGCCACTGCCAGGTACAGCTTCCTTCAAGGCAAAGAACTCATTTATGGCCAGGACAACCAGTTAAAATCATTGACTGCCAGTAGTGTGCAGCCATTTTATGAAATAATCCCTGGCTCTGCGGTGGGGCAGATAATCTAATAAACAGAGCCTGAACATTTCATCACATGGAAATATGAATATAAATATGAAAAAGATAGTTTTGTCTGCAGATGGCCTACATGAAAGAAGCAGAGATAGGGATGAAATTAGTTCAGAGACCTGCTTAATATAATCTCTCTTTCCTGTTGTCTCCAAGAACTGGGGAATCAATATATCCTGCTCATAATGCTTTGTGTTGTGCAAACAGCCTGGTTTTCCTGGGATGTCCCCTAGGAGACCATGGCCACTTCTGTGTCTGGAGACATTTTCCCAAAATCTCTTTGTGTCTGCTTAAAAAAAACTACTCTCCTTCAGATTATGATGATTTGAAGGGACAAAACAATCCCTTCTCCTCTGCACTGGTTGTTGGCTCAGCTGCTGGAAAGAGCAGAGAGGGAAGAAGGTGTGGAAGATCCCATCCTGGCACCAGGAGAGGGGATCTGGCAGCAGGTGTCCCTGTGGCAGGGGATGGCAGGGGACTCTCCTCAGCCCCCTGTCCTGGTGCTTGGATCCTTGCCCAGGACTGGGATGTCCATTCAGTTCTCTGGGCCGGGAGCATCCAAGGATTTGTGCCCATCCTGGTACCCACTGCTAGTGCAGGATGAGTAAAGACATAAATCATGGAATCCCAGAATGGATTGGGTTGGAGGGACCTCAAAGCTCATCCAGTCCCACCCCTGCCATGGCAGGGACACCTTCCACTGTCCCAGGCTGCTCCAAGCCCTGTCCAGCCTGGCCTTGGGCACTGCCAGGGATCCAGGGGCAGCCCCAGCTGCTCTGGGCACCCTGTGCCAGGGCCTCCCCACCCTCCCAGGGAACAATCCCTTCCTAAAATCGAATTAAATCTCTCCTCTTTTAGTTTGAAGCCATTCCCTGGGTCCTGTCCCTCCATCCCTTATCCCCAGTCCCTCCCCAGCTCCCCTGGAGCCCCTTCAGGCCCTGCAAGGGGCTCTGAGCTCTCCCTGGATGCTTTTCTACTCCCAGCTCTCCCAGCCTGGCTCCAAAGCAGAGGGATTCCAGCCAAAGTGCTGGTCCCATTTTCCTCTGTCTCTGTGCCTGAGGTGGGATTTGTCTGGTCTGGGAAGGTGGCACAGCTGTTAGAGATAGAAATATTTAAGTTTAATTTGACTTACAAATCTTTTCCTGCCCCCACCATGAGTCACATCCTATCCAAGGATCTCTCTACTGTCCTTTCTGTGCAGCTGGAAGAAGAAAATAAAAATAGGACTTGGCTTAGCTGAGCAGGGCTTTGGGAAACACCACAAGAGACGAGGTATTTCCTATCCTTTATGTGGCCCTTGCAGCTTGGCAGTGCTTAAATAGAGCACAGGAGCCTGTGGCCCTTTGGCACCTGGCTATCCTTAACTGTTGGGAATTCCTCAATACTGGAAAAGATGTTTGGTGCTTGGCAGTGTGTGCCTGGATCCTGACTCCATGGATTTGAAATCCTGACTCCATGGATTTGAAATTAGAAGGACTTTTTTTTTTTCTTTTTCCTGGAGGCCCCTGTGCAGTGACACAGTACTCAGATTTTACTGCTGCAGTCTGGTGGAGAATCTGCTTTTCACACCATTTGGGACTTTTGTTTAGTTAAAAAACCTCCAAGCAATGGAAAGAAAAGATCTTTGTCTTTCAGCTGTGAGCAAAGAAAGCTCATAGTATATGTCCAAGAGCCACCAGAAATCCCCTGGCAACCAGGCCTAATGATCCTGGTACTTCCTTGCAGGATCTTAGGAAATCACAAAAGTGCTGCTGTTATTTAAAATATGGAGTTACTGCTGGAGGCTTCTTTATAGAGAGGCCCAGAATGGGCAAATCCTATTCCTCTTGATACTTAAAACTTCTCTTTTAATGTGTGCACACACAGTCCTTGTGCTTTGAAACAGCTCAAACTGGGTCCCCAAGGTCAGGAGCTGAAACAGAGACTGGGGAGGTTTAACTTGAGGCAAAACTTGGGAAAGTTACAGCCCGAGCCAGCAAACTGGGAAGTTTTTGTTGGAATGTGGGGGGAACTTTCCATCTCACGCTCCTTGCCCTGCTGGCAGGGAGGTTTCACGTGGCTGTAGGTGAGCTGACTGGCACATTAATCAACTTCAGCATCTCTTCCCTGTGCTGGAACTTTTGGAAAGACCAGCAAAGGAAAATTACTGCAGCCAGCCTGCTCTTTGCAAATCCCAGGGCTGCAGATCTTAAAATGCATCTGGTTCCTGTGAGACCCTCCTGTGTGATCCCTCCACAGCCCAGGCAGCAGCTCCACAGGGAACTTTGCCATTTCCAAGTGGGAAAGTGGGTGGGCAGTGCTTGTGCTCTGTGTGTGCTTCCCACTTGGGAGCAGCAAAGTGGCTTTTATCAGGATGGGCTTGTGTCTGCATGGCCTAATTCCTGCTGGGAGTGTCCTGGGGGGATGCTGATAGCAGGAACAGCAGATTGCACTTGGAGCATCAGCTCAGGCTGCAGATGGAGCAGGAATGTGTTGCTACAGGAGCAGCAGTGGCACGGGATACACAAAGGCAGCATCCTTTGATAGAGCTGTGAGACCCTTGGACACCTCAGCTGGAGAGCTGCTTCTGTTTTTGAGTCAGCATTCAGGAAGGACCTGGTGGGGAGTGTCCAGAGGAGAGCAGATCCCTAGATAATGTGGTAGAAGGGATGATGAGAAGGCTTGGATTTCTCTTTTCCAGCTGAGAAAGGGCCAGGGGAGGTGTTATGGCAGGCACTGCTTGTGTAGGAAGTTGCAGGGATCCGTTTTCCATGCAGGATAAAATCTAATGGATGTGTTTTACCAAGGGAGATTCAGCAGGGAATGCTCTGCCTGTGTGGAGCACGAGGTCAGACGACCCCAAAAGAAGCATGGAGTCTCCACTTGGATGTCTGAGGCCAGGTGCAGCAGATCTGCTGTGGATGATGCCATTTTGGGATGGATATTTGAGTTTTTGGATCTCTCAGCACCCTGTCCAGCCCCGCTGTCGCTGACTCCTCACTGTGCAGAGGAAGGCACCAAACCCCTCTCGTTTTCCCCGTTCTCACAGGTAGTTTCGCAGACAAGACTTACGAGTGGAGCTCCGAGGAGGAGGAGTCTGTGAGGAAGGCAGGGCCAGTGCAGGTCCTCATTGTCAAAGATGACCACTCCTTCGAGCTGGACGAAGCCGCCCTGAACCGCATCCTCCTCTCCGAGGCTGTCAGAGACAAGGAGGTGGTGGCTGTGTCCGTGGCTGGAGCTTTTAGGAAAGGAAAATCATTCCTGATGGACTTCATGCTGCGGTACATGTACAACAAGGTAAGGCTGCAGCTCAGGGGGCCCTTCCCACGGCTGCTGTTCTTCATGGATGAGCTGGGCAGGATTTGGTGCTTTAGGAATGCTCAAGGCTCTCATGAGTGTGGGCTGCACAAAATAAAGCAGAGCAGATCCCAGGCAGAGGTTTCTCATGGACTCTTAGCTTTGGAGCTGGAATGTTCACATCTTCTGCCCTGAATCACAGAATCATTTAGGCTGGAAAATCCCTGTAAGATCATTGAATCCAGCTGCTAACCCAGCATCACCTTATTCACCATATCCTCAGGTGTCCTTATTCACCATATCCTCAGGTGTCTTTTGAACACTTCCATGGATGGGGATTCCACCACTGCCCAGGGCGGGCAGCCTGTTCCAATGTGTGACCACCCTTCCAGTGAAAAAAAATTTCCTAATATACAACCCAAACCTTCCTTGGTGTAACTTCAGATTGTTTCCTCATTTCCTGCTGCTTTTTCCCTGAAAGCAGAGCCCGATTCCCACTTGGCTGTCCCCTCCTGTCAGGAGTTGTGCAGAGCCACAGGTCCCCCCTGAGCCTCCTTTTCTCCAGGCTGAGCCCCTTCCCAGCTCCCTCAGCCCCTCCTGGTGCTCCAGACCCTTCCCAGGACACGCTCCAGCCCCTCAATGCCTTTGCTGTGAGGAGCCCAAAACTGAGCCCAGGATTTGAGGTGCCTTGACCATAAAAGGAAGGAAAATCTTCCATTTTGAGGTTCCTAACCTCTTACCCTTTTTAACACCTCCAGCAACTCCTTCTGTTCCTCCCTGCAGGAGGCAGTGGACTGGGTTGGGGATTACAACGAGCCCCTGACTGGTTTCTCCTGGAGGGGCGGCTCCGAGCGGGAGACCACCGGGATTCAGATCTGGAGCGAGGTGTTCCTGGTGGACAAGCCCGATGGCACCAAGGTGTGTGTGTGTCTCTGCTGCTGCCAGCTCATTTTCCAGCTTTTGAGACTCTCCTGCCTTGTCTTAGGTGGTTGTGTAAGTTTAGGGGAGGTTTTCAATACCATGCCTCTATTTTAGTAAGTGAGGGAAGTGATATAAAAATATTTTTTTTAAATAATGGAATTTTGATAATAATTTTTGACGTGCATTTCACAGAGATGAGGGGTGGAATGTGGTGGTTTTGCACAGGAGGCATTTATGGAAATGATGTAAAAACTTGTGTGTAATTGACAGTCTGTAGAAGACTGTCACAGACCACTGGGAAGTTGTACACACCACAAAAAATACAAGTTAAAGATGGGTTTAACAAAGTGAGGTGATGTGATGTCCAAGTGTCCCTGATACAGTTCTCTAAGTGTCCCTCAATTCTGGGCATCCTAGAGTTTATCTCTGTACTATTCCCAGAAATCTTGAATCTCATGTCCTTGCAAACTCATTCTCTTGTAGAGTAGAAGTTCTAAAGTGGAGTTTCTTCATTCAGAGTTGTCACAGTGGATTTGGAGCATCCTGCAAATTCAGCTAATAGCCAGGAATATTTTTATTTATCTGCACTTCAACGTAGAGCATGGCACCCAAGTGACACTGAGGCATTCAGGGTGTCATTCCTAACGCTGGCTGAATGTGTTTGGGTTCAGAAGGTGCAATTAGTGTTTGGTTTCTGGTGCAGCCTCAGGCAGAGCCTCCTCTGCACTGCCAGCAGTGTCTGAGGAGCAGAGCAGTTCCCTCACTGCCTTGCAGAGCGTTCATTTTGCTGCCTGCTGGAGTCACCCTGCTGTCAGGAGTGGCTGGGGATGAGCTTTTCCTTTGTCCCCCACCAGTGCAGAGGCTGAGGCAGAAGCAGTGAGACCCCAGCACAGCGAGCAGCTGCCATTCCCAGCTGCCATTCTGCTGCTGCTGGGGGTGCTGACGGAGCTTTGTGCCCCGCAGGTCGCGGTGCTGCTGATGGACACCCAGGGCACCTTTGACAGCCAGTCCACCCTCAGGGACTCGGCCACCGTGTTTGCCCTCAGCACCATGATCAGCTCCATCCAGGTAAGAAACCTCTGGGCTGGAGGAGTTCATCCCCAGGAGCTACAGAGCCTGAAGGGTTTCCCTTCTACCACTTGTGCCAGCACCACCTGGGACCTTGCCCGTGTCCCCATGGGGTTGTTGTAGGTTTTAGCCACACCAACCACGTGTTAGCCCCGAGGACAGGCTGTTCTGAGTGATCTGAAGTTGTTTTTTATTTTATTTTTTATTTACATGCAGGTTTATAACTTGTCCCAGAATGTGCAGGAGGATGATCTGCAGCACTTGCAGGTAAGAGAAGCTTTGGGGTAACCTAACTGTGGCTGTTTAAAAGGGACTGGAGTGACAGGACCACAGGGAATGGCTTCCACTCCTGGAGGGCAGGCTTAGATGGAATGTTGGGAAGGAATTTCTGCCTGTGAGGCACTGGCACAGGTTTCCCACAGAAGCTGTGACTGCCTCATCCCTGGAAGTGTCCAAGGCCAGCTTGGATGACAGTTGAAGCAACCTTGTATAGTGGAAGGTGTCCCTGCCCATAGCAGGGGTTTGGAACTGGTGGGATTTCAGGTACCTCCCAACCCCAACCACCCTGGGATTTTCTTCTGTGATTGTGAATTATCAGCCTGGATGTTGCCATCTGGTGCTGGCTCAGTACAGGTGACCCTCTAAGGGTGATTCCAGCCCTGAATGTTGGAGACAAGCAGCTAATGGGATTTTTGTGACACAGGTGTCCTACCTATTTCCTGGAATTACATCCTGCTTTCTCTTCTGTTCAGTTGATTGATTGGTTGATTAATTAGGTAGGTTTTTCCAGGAGCTTAAGGAAAGGAAAGAAAAGCAAAAGTCCAGCTGAAAAAATCAGCATTTGAATACTTCTGAATTATCTCAGTCCATAAATATTATTAACAATAACACTTCTTTAACACTGAATTTATTCAGTGTAGTTCTGATCTTTCAGTTTGGATTTGAAGCCATGACTGCTTAACAAGTTGACCCATTTTTAGGCATCTGTGAAACACATTATTGTGAATCAGTTAGAAATTAGAGTGCAGAGAGACTGGAGAGTCTTCAAATCTTGCTGCTAGGCTGATTTTGGAGTCTTTGCACAGCAGGGGTTTGCAGGGAAAGTATTTACTTCTGAATTAATTTCCATTCCTTCCTGGAGTGTTTAGAGGGAGCAGGGCTCCAGCAGCCCCCTGGAGCATGAGAAGTTTTGGGTTGGTTTGAAACCAGCAGCAAGCAGCTGATCTGAGCCGTTTTCCACAGATTTGGCAGCCAAAAGCTCCAGGCTGGGATCTCTCACATGAGAGCTCAGCAGGGTGATGATGGTTCCACAACAGCTCCCTGTGCCTCTGGGGTGTGAGCTGGGATCCCAGAGCCACTTTTTGTCCAGCTCTGCACGTGGTGCTGGTAGTCCCCACCCATAAATATCCCTTACTGCTCCAGAGAATCAGAGAATTCCCTCCAGGGACCCACAGGGATCATCGATCCAGCTCCTGGTCCTGCCCAGACCCACAACAATCCCACCCTGGGCATCCCTGGCAGCGCTGTCCAAAGGCTCCTGGAGCTCTGGCAGCCTCGGGAATGTCACCATCCATTCCCTGGGGAGTCTGGGCAGTGCCAGCATCCTCTGAGGGAAGAACCTTTCCTGAAATCCCTGCCCTGGCTCAGCTCCAGCCTTTCTCTGGGTCCTGTCCCTGTCACAGGGAGCAGAGCTCAGTGCTGGTGCCCCTGTGTCCCACAGCGCCTGCAGTGACAAACTCACTGCCCTGTCCTTTCCTTCTCCTTCCAGCTTTTCACCGAGTACGGCCGGCTGGCCATGGAGGAGACATTCCAGAAGCCTTTCCAGGTGAGTGCGAGGATCCTGGCCAGCTCGTTTGTCCCGCTGGCTTCACCACGAGGTGTCACTGCAGTTTGCAGCATGGGAGGAGATGGGAGTGCCTGGGCTCAGCTGCTCCAAGCTTTGTGCTTCCTTGTCCAAGTACATCCAACATCCCTCTCTCTCTCCTCTCTCAACCCTTGCCTTCCCAAGAGCTCTGCCCTGTCCTGCCAGGCTTGGAAAGCAGCTGGTTTTGCAGCAGGTTTGTCACTCTGTAGTCAGGAGCTCTGCCCAACCTTTGTTGGTTTGAACTCACCTGCCCTGGGAATCCCTGCTCCTGGCAAAATGAAAGGATAAGGATTAGCAGAACCGTGGGAAAACTTGGTGTAAGTGAGGTTTTAACTTCAAATTAGGGACATCTGTTCATCCTTCTGCTCCCCAACCTGTGAAAAGCTGGTGTTAAAAAAAATGGAGAGCATTGGGTGCTCACAGTAGGTGAGGTTGGTTCCTGTTTTTAGAGACACAGGAGTGTTTTGATTAGGTTGGGTGAGGGTTTGTGAACTTCCTAAAGTAAAAGCCAGCAGAGAACAAAGCATGCTGTAAAAATCCAAAGAGTAATTGGGAATGAGTGACAGCTATTTTACATTTGCTTTCCCACATCAAAAGAGAATTGTTGTCCTGGAAGGACTAAGGGATTTATAAGGTGCCTGTGGTCAGGAAGTGGAAATAAAATTTAAAGGTTAAAAATTACGACAAATGGACAAATTAAGATTTTTTAAGGTGTATTAGATTCTGCTGTGGGCTGGTGACTGATAAATAGTAAAACTAAAAATATATGTAATAAAAATATAAGACAGGCAAGAGCTTGAAGAACGTTGTAACATGGTACAGCAAAAAGCCAGACATTAAATAAATATTCCTGCTCCTTATTTAAAGACTGTGGGGATAATGTAGCCAAATATTCCAGTGAAACTGAGATACTTCCTACTCCATTAGTGAAAAGGAGGCTGTGAGGGGAGACTTAAACATGCTTAAATCATTAGGGCTGGATAATAGGCTCTGATTTTCCCAAACACTGTAATTGCTGTGGAGTCACAGTTTGTGGATGGTGAGTCTTGTCAATCCCATTATCAGTTTTTGAAAGACCACGGGCTGGGTTGATAAAGGTAACTCTCACCATGAACCGTTGCCTTCTGTCAGCCTTATCTCTCCAGGATGCTGATTGGAAACAAATGAAGTCATCATTGTGTGGTTTAATCCATAGTTAATGGATTAAAAACTCATTAACTGATAGATGCCAGAGCACGCTGAACTAATTGTAACTAATTGTAGGGAATCATCATCCTTCAGAAGTGTTTCCTTGGGATCCCCCCAGGCTCTCCCTGATTCAATGTCATCTTCATTAATGATCAGGGAGAAATTATCAAACGATGCTGGGAACCTTTGTGGGTGTGACAAATGTGGCAGAGGGGTCAGTGGTGCTGTGGCCAGGTGAGAAATGATCTCCTGTCTGCACCCAGCATGGGCTGCTTCCTGCAGAACATGTTTTAAATGTGAGTGTTGATTAGAAAGCAGCAAAAGTGAGGGTGGGGAGGCCCTGGCAGAGTTTTCCCAGAGAAGCTGTGGCTGCCCCTGGATCCCTGGCAGTGTCCAAGGCCAGGCTGGACAAGGTTAGGAGCAACCTGGGATGGTGGAAATGTCCCTGCTCATGGCACTGGATGAGCTTTAAGGTCCCTTCCAACCCAAACTGCCCTGGGGTCCTGGAATTCTCCAGGTGTGATGGTGAATAAACTGCAGTGCCATTGATCCTGCTGGGAGGGAAGTGAGACTTGGCAGTGGAAAATTCACATTTCCCTTTGTCTCCCTCCTCTCCTTGCACTGAGGAGCCCCTGCCAGAGGCTGGCCTGAACGTGGAGCCTTCACAAAGGCAGTGGTAAACACAGCCTGTCTGGAAAAATTTAACTTCAGAACAAAAATAATAATTCCCAATTCAAGGCGTGCATAATGTTTTTGTGGAAAAGTCCTAAACAGGGGCATGTCTCTCAAGCATCTCATGGTGGCTGAGAACAGCATGTCCTGAACCAGCTCACTGGGTGCAGTCACTGTGGCTTCTCCTGCAATTCAAAAAGGCCAACTCACTGTTCTCTCCTTTTTTTTAAAGTTTTTCTGATGTTTTATGGAAGAGAAATAGCAGGAATATTTCCCCTCCCTCCATTAGATTTTTGTTCTAAACACAGATAAATTTTAGGGAAATTCCAATGAAATGGATTCCTCTTGCTGACCTGCTTATCCATGTTCCTGAGAGGAACCCTGGCACCTCTGCCAGGCCCTCCTGGGCTTTGGCATTCAGGACTTACCTCTCCAAACTCTTTATTTCTTACATGGGATGTTGTACAGATGAGGCAGTTGAGACCTGATTTTTTTTCTGAAAACCTCTTTTATTTTTTTAAAGATTCAAAGTTGACCGTTCTGGTATTTATTTATTTATTGCCCAGGAACTTTGAATGCCTCAATAAAGATTACAAAAGCCAATGATTTCTTATTCACCCTCATTCCTCTGCATCTGTTTCTCATTAAAAGTCTGTCTGGAAGGCTGCCTAGTGAAAAAGGCTGAAAAAATGAGCCTGTAGAATTCCCATAGGATGGAACTAAATGTGGCTGGAATTAGGGAGCTTGCTGCCTTTGTCCTGGTTAGCAGCAATCCCTTTTCTTGGGCAGTTTAGATGATTGATGTTGTTCTCCCAGCCAGGGACTCAAACTGTGCAGCAGTTTGGGGGGTGGGACAGTGGAGTGGTCTCAGTCCCTGCAGACTGGGACCTCTTTTTTCCACCAGGAAAGGTGGGAGATGCTGCTGGAGCTGAGAAAAGACTCGGGGACAGGTTTTGGTGTGGTGTGAAATGAGGGTGAGGGTGCAGGGGGTGCTCAGCCCCTGCTGTGGGCTCTGAGCAGCAGGTCCCTGACCCCACTGTTGTGTGTTTTGCAGTCCCTTATATTCCTTGTCCGTGACTGGAGCTTCCCTTATGAATTCTCCTATGGATCTGATGGTGGTGCAAGATTTTTGGAGAAGAGGCTGAAGGTATGTTTTGCCTGCTCTTGGTTCTGGATAGTGGAAGTGCCCCTACCCATGGCAGGGATGATGTTTAAGGTCCTTTCCACCCCAATCCACTCTGTGATTCCATGATTTTCCTGTCCATCTGGGTGGCCTCAGCACTGGAGGTCAGGTGTGAGCTTATGGTCACACTCAGTGCCTTAAAATCACAGAGGAGGCATTTGGGGAGGGTGAATTTCTTTGCCACGTTCAGGCTTCTGCCCAAGCCCAGCTCCCTGGGACTCTCTGGGAGAGTCAAAAGCAGTGGGAGTCAGCAGATTCCCAAGAGACTGGGAATGATGCTTTAGTAATTAGGGAGTTGTACAATAAAAGTGATGGGCAAGGGCTGCTTGGGATCAGCCAGGAAATGCATGGATGATCTGGTAGTGGAGAGACCTAATTATATGTGAGACAAGCAAGGCCCTAGTGGGAAATCCCAAATGTTTTTGTATTCCAGTCATCCATGGACATGTGCATTTTCCAAATGATAATAACATGGTCCAGAGCATGTGGTCAGAGCTACTCCAGTTCCTTCTCTTTGTCCTCATGCCTATGGAATCTCCTCCTTTCCTTTCACTGTAAGCACCCACAGTGTGGAGTTATCCTGTTCTCCTGCCAGCTTTATCCCAGTATTCCTATCAGAAGGAAACTCCCTGACCCCAAACTGTGGGCAGTAGGTGGGCAGCACAGATCTCTTCTCTCTGGTGACCACTGGCAGAACCTGAGGGAAGGGCTGGAGCTGTGCCAGGGGAGGTTTGGGTTGGATCTCAAGGAAAGTTTCTTCCCCCAGAGGTGCTGGGCACTGCCCAGGCTCCCCAGGGAATGGGCACAGCCCTGAGGTTGCCAGAGCTCCAGGAGCTGCCAGGGATGCCCAGGGTGGGATTGCTGGGGGATCTGTGCAAGGCCAGGAGCTGGATTCTGATCCTTGTGGGCACTTCCAGCTTGGGATATTCTGTGCTTCATTGTCTCCACAGGTGTCAGGCAATCAGCACGAGGAGCTGCAGAATGTCAGGAAGCACATCCATTCCTGCTTCACCAAAATCTCCTGCTTCCTCTTACCTCACCCCGGCCTCAAAGTCGCCACCAACCCCAATTTTGATGGAAAACTGAAAGGTACAAAGGCAAAGCTCTGGTTTCTACCCTGATTCCTTAGAAGCCCTAGCAGACTGTCCTGCTTGTTCCTGAAACCTCCATAAGCATTTTCCATGAAAAAACTCCTGGGAGAGCAGTTGTATCATCCTTCCTGTGCTGTTCACACCCCCATCTCCTTTTTTCCAGTGCAAACAAATGTGGAGGGAGAAAAGGGGTGGGAGGCTGACAAGGCCTGAGAGCTACTGGCAGTACCCAGTGATAGGAAAACTGGGAAGGGCAGGGATGAGGCTGGATGTTTATGGATGTGGTGTTAAACCTGCATAAATTCCCGTGCCTCACCTGCACAGGCAGAGCCTGGTTGCTGCAAGGCTGGTGCTTGTTTGTGGTGGGTGGAAGGCAGGTTCCACAAGCTCTCAGAACATTCTTTCACTTTGAAAAGCTTTCCAGGGATTATTTAATCTGCCTGACTTTATCTCATCAGTGGTTTCCCTACAGGGCAGGCTTGGTTCAGCAGGTTTAAAAAAAGGGAGAAGGAGAAAAGAGCTGTGGTGAGATTCTCCATCTCAAAAGGAGCCACGTGCTGGGGATATTTTTAGGTGTTTGTTTTGTGAACTCACTAGCGTGGCTGGTTCCAGGCTGCTGCAATCTTAGTAATCAAGTGGACCATTAGCTACTTAAAATAAATTAGCAGGCAAAGATGTGAGTTTTCCCTGGTTTTGTCTGGCTCAGACTTGCTCTCCTGGCAAACTGTGCAAAGCAAGAGGGACAGCGAGGCAGCAGGAGGGTGGAAACTGAGCTGATCCCTGGAGCTCCTCCTTAACCTCAGGTGCTGAGGAGTGTGGAACAAGTGCTGTGTGCAGACAGGAGCTGTCAGCAGCTTCTTGACACAATTTTCACAAATGTCTTGTTGCCTCAGAGCTGTACTCAGCTTTTTGTGCTCTGATGGAAGAAATGTGGGGGATCTCCCCTGCTTTCCATACCTTCCAAATTCCTGGCTGTTGCATTGATTTTTTTCTGCCTTCAGTCCTGTACAGTTGAATTTAATGGAAACACCAGGAATCCCACCCTGTGCATCCCTGAGAGCTTTGTCCAAATCCCCCTGGAGCTCTGGGGAGCCTTGGGGTTGTGACCATTCCCTGTGGAGCCTGTTCCTTCCACCCTCTGGGGGAAGAACCTTCCATGGAACATGATGGTCTTTAAAGTCCCTTCCAACCCAAACTATTCTGGGACTCTGTGATGCCTCTTTTTTCTTCTTTTTTCCCAGAAATAGACGATGAGTTCATCAAGAACTTGAAGATTTTGATTCCTTGGCTTCTCAGTCCCGAGAACCTGGACGTTAAGGAGATCAATGGAAACCATATCACCTGTCGAGGCCTTGTGGAGTATTTTAAGGTATTTACGTAAGAGAAAGTGGATTTATTCCTCTGTGGAATTTTGGTGTAGCTGAAGGGGAAAGCAGCAGCAGGCAGGGCAGCACTGACAGGCCTGACTCACTGCAGCAGAGGGCAAACACCTCACGGTCATGTATTTGACCACACAGTGAGCCCAGAAAGTGGGAGGAGCTCTTTTCCTTTCCTGGAGAATTGAGGGCTAGAGGGGATAAAGCTGAGGGCTGTATTCCAGTTGCCTTTGGAAAAAGCTTATTTTTTGTTGTCATGGCTACTGGGACATTTCCATGCGAGACACTGGTGAGTAATTCTCACCACCTACTCTCCAGGGCTTCCTTGGCTCCTTCTCCTTCAGGGAAAGGACAGAGGTAGGTGCAGATCCTTTGGGAGGGATACTGGGAGTGAGTGGAGGAGGGAGAGCCTCCAGTGACCGACCCAGGAGTGGCATTTTCTGACCAAAGCCATCTTGTGCTGGAACATCCTCCCCTTCCCTGCTCTAAATCCTGTCTGGAGCTGGGTGGGGGTGGTTGGTGTTGCTCCTGGGTGCTGCATTCCACATGATTCCCTTTTCCCTGCTCTTTTCCAGGCCTACATTAAGATCTACCAAGGGGAGGAGCTGCCACACCCCAAGTCCATGCTGCAGGTATGTGTGAGTGGGAGCTGTGGGAATTCCTGCACTGGAATTGCCATTAATGCCCAGGAATTGGCAGAGGTGTCCAGCACAGTGGGACTGCTGGGACTTTATTCCAAATGCCTCAGTGTAACCACCCAAGGAAGGGCACTTTGGGAAGAGTTTGGCATCACCAGCCTGGCATGGCTGAGGAATCCCACCTGGGATGGACTGTGGGGAATTGCTGGCTGCACACAGCACCAGCCAGCTCAGCTGGAACGATTCCCTGCAGGTGAATGACATCCTTGGGGCCACACAGGGAGGTGACACATGGGAAGTGGCTGCCAGAGCCTTGCAGCTGGAGCTGTTTACTTGTGGCCGAGCCTTTTATCTCTTTCCTTGCTGGTTCCCACAGCTGAAGCCAAAGTTTCTGTAGCTCTGGCTTGGAGGGGAGGAATCCTCTCTTCATGCAGGCTTCTGGATGTGGAAATATGAGATGAGCTTATCTGGGATCAGGTTGGAGGCTGGGAGAGCCCTTTGGCTGATTCTGGGTGCCACACACGTCCTGGCTGTGTCCACGTGTGGCCCTGCACTTGCACAGCTTAACCCTGTCCTTCTGCACCTACATTTTGTGCCCCTCTTGCCCCTACAGGCCACAGCAGAAGCCAACAATTTAGCAGCAGTTGCCACTGCCAAAGACACCTACAGCAAGAGGATGGAAGAGGTGGGTGGTGCTGAGCATGTTCCTTCCTGTCCCTTCCTGTCCCTTCTTGTCTCCTGGCTCTCCTGTCATAGATTCATGGAATCCCAGAAGGGTTTGGGCTGGAAAGGACCTTAAAGCCCATCCAGCTCCACTCCTGCCATGGCAGGGACACCTTCTACCATCCTAGTCTGTCCAAGCCCCATCCAGCCTGGCCTTGGACACTTCCAGGGATCCAGGGGCAGCCACAGCTGCTCTGGGCACCTGTGCCAGGCCTGCCCACCCTCAGAGACAGGAATTCCTTCCCAATCCCTAATCCCTAACCCTAATTTCAGCTTTCCCTTTGTTAGGAGTGACATTTCAGGGATGATTTCAGGAGTGGTTTGACCATGTCAGGAGTGATGTTTCAGAAGTGGCATTTCAGGGATGATTTCCCCATGTCAGGAGTGATTTCCCTGTGTCAGGAGTGACATCTCAGGGTTGATTTCCCTGTGTTAGGAGTGACATTTCAAGAGTGATTTCACTGTTTCAGGAGTGACATTTCAGGAATGATTTCCCTGTGCCAGCAGTGATATCTCAGGGATGATTTCACCATGTCAGGAGTGATTTTCCTGTATCAGCAGTGATATCTCAGGGTTGATTTCCCCGTGTCAGCAGTGATTTCCTGAATCAGCAGAGCCATTTCAGGGATGATTTCCCCATGCCAGCAGTGACATTTCAGGAGTGATTTCCCTGTGCCAGCAGTGCCATTTCAGGGATGATTTCCCCATGTCAGCAGTGACATTTCAGGAATGATTTCCCTGTGTCAGGAGTGACATTTCTGCAGTGATTTCCCTGTTCCAGCAGTGATATCTCAGGGATGATGATTTCCCTGTGCTAGCAGTGATATCTCAGGGATGATTTCCCCATGTCAGTAGTGATTTGCCTGTATCAGCAATTCCATTTCAGGGATGATTTCCCCGTGCCAGCAGTGATTTCCCTGTGTCAGCAGTGATATCTCAGAGATAATTTCCCCATGCCAGCAGTGCCATTTCAGGGATGATTTCCCTATGCCAGCAGTGATACCTCAGGGATGATTTCCCCATGCCAGCAGTGATTTCCCCATGCCAGCAGTGATATCTCAGGGATGATTTCCCCATGTCAGCAGTGATTTCCCCGTGCCAGCAGTGCCATTTCAGGGATGATTTCCCTATGCCAGCAGTGATATCTCAGGGATGATTTCCCCGTGGCAGCAGTGATTTCCCTGTGCCAGCAGTGCCATTTCAGGGGTGATTTCCCCATGCCAGCAGTGATATCTCAGGGATGATTTCCCCATGCCAGCAGTGATTTCCCC